GGTAAAACCAGTAAAATTACTGATGAAACCTCCGATGGACGACAATCGACAACATTCGATAGTCTACTATGTATGCTGAAATTATTATGCCTATTTGGAAGGTAAGTTGAATATATGTGTGCTCAACTTTATTTTTAATTTACTTCAATAGAAATGAAGATATTCGACAGTTAATAACTGACGGAGAAACTATACATCAAACTTTACCGAATCTCCTGAAATTGGTAATTTTAGCTGTTATGATTTTTACAAAGTCAAATTTTGATAGGCTTGTAATGCTCAACAACTTGACGTGGAATTTTCAGAATTACTTGAGCTAACTGTTGATCTCATAGAAGTTCTATATGATCCTCAATACATGTGGAGAAGGTGGAAAACTAGGTAAGTTAGTGTTGGGATAAAACTGTTAATGTACCTTTACAAAGATTTTTTGTTTGTGTCCCAAGTGTTCATTTCTAAGAACTTAATTGGTTTTTAGTTTGATTACGGATTGATATCAGTTAGAGAGCCTTGTGATAATCAGGGAGAAATTGGTTAGGCGTTTCGTCCTAGTCTGGGTCTCTTCAATAGTACTCACTGCATCACCCCACTGGGGGATTAAACATAAAAACTTCGGGTTACGAGGTGAGATCGCTGACTATTCAGCCAATATGGTTTAATCCTGTGGTCTATAAATTCTTGACTTTTTGGCTCTACCGCCAGCCCTACGCGTCCCACTTGTCACAACTTTTCACTAGGACTTCAAGCGGTTTCCTCCCGCAGTCAATCACTAGTGGGCCTGAGATTAATTTTCAAGCGTTAGTTCGTAGGGAATTGATAGGTGTGTTCGGTTGCAGGAGTACTTATGATACCGCATGGATTCCTCAACACTTCGTACAATGTTGCATCTAATTTACTCAACAGCAAAAATAAACACTACATGGTAATATTGAAACAAAATTGTTAATTTCTTACGAGTTTGACCAGGGAATGATATCAGTTGGAGTACCATTAAAAACCAGTACTGGAGTACTGGATAGTCAGCTGTTTCATCCGTCCTAGTTTGGGAATCATTGCCAGTACGCATCCACCACAGGGGTTCGAACCCAGGACTGATATCAATCCATGGTCAAACCCGTAAAAACAAATCTAATCCTTACAAACCAACTCTTGAAAATTGTTAATAGAAATTAATTATCATTACCAACAAATTCAAAAATAATAATAATAATTTGCTTTATTCCAAAACAGTACTTGTGATACAGAATGGAATTCTCAGCATTTTTACTACAGTATTGCATCCAGTTAGTACATTGTCAATAAATAGAATTCTACATAGATTGAGGAAACCACAGTTCATTATTACAACAATACATTGGCTGTCAGTAGCAAAGGTAAAGCTGAAACAGTGTTTGAAGGTGTTAGAAAAGTGGGAGCTGTCTTATTAACTGGCGTAAGCGAAAGAAAGAGACAAAGCAGCACATAACGGAAAAGAAGAGAGAGAAAAGAACAGAAAGAAGGAAATGTGTACTATATTTTAAGACTATTTAAGAATTATAGGTGTCACGCCTAATGCTTTCTTTATCACACAGAACCAGCTAAGTAGGTATGTTGTTTGTACTTGCTGGTGCGAGCATATAGTTTTCTATATTGGCTTCTTGTTTTACCTGATGAGATGCAAGGGGAGAGTTGTGAGTGAAGAGGGTGGTGTGAGTTAGATAAAATGGACTTGGCCCATTTTTCACATGAGTCCATGTGCCTGTACAAAAAGCATAAATTAATAATAATATTAATAACTAAAAATATAAGATATTTGAATAATGAGAGGGTCATTTATTTTATTAAATACATAGTAAGTCGTAGGTTTCACTCTTAACAATATGTCTATCACATAGAAAGCCAGCGGGCACAATAGAGTATCGTTGAGTTTTTGTACTTGGTTGTACGAGTGAGTATAAACTTGCTACCAATCAATCAAATCCCTACAAACCAATACTTGAATATCAATGAGATGCTCACTAGCGACTGACCCTATTCAGGTAAGTAGTTATCTGGGGTTCTAGTGGGAAGTCGTGACCAGTAAGGTACAGCAGGTCGGTCGTGAGGACAAATACTCGACGAAGGCATTGGCTAATGGTCGCATTATGTCGTGAATTGGCAGAAGTTGGAATCCTTGCGCTGGCTATTAGATCGGGTCCCAGTGGCTTAATGGTCTACAAGCTTGTCTTGTAATCAGAAGGTCCTGGGTTTGAACCATGGGGGTAGGTGCATACTGCAGAAGAGTCCCAGGCAGTAAGACGAAACAGCTGTCTAGCAGTACTCCCTGTTGGTTTTCCAATGGTTCTCTAACCGATGTCAGCTCATGATGAAATCCTGTAGCTATCAAATACTTCTTAGCTTACAGTGGCCATTTCTGATCAAATCAATAGATTCCCTGAAAATCAAACAACTCAACATGGGAAAATGAACTTGTCTTTTAGTTATTCTTCGTCGCACTGTCTGTCTGTATTCAACATAGAACTTTGCACCGATGTGCGGCAGTTCAGGTTGCCACACTTCACTCAGCACACAAAGCAAGAGAAGAAAGTAGAAGAAATGCATAATAGAGACAGTAAACAGAGGTGGAGACAAAGGAATAGTAATAACGAAGAACAATATAGTTTCATTGGAAATCATAACTCACAAGGAGTGGATGCATCTGCGCCAGCCATTGAGAACGATTTTGAGCCATATCACCGATTGTCTCCAGTTTTCATTGGTTTTTACCATCCCGAGGACCTCAGCTAGGAAGTCTACACCTCCCTACGTGGCTTAAACTAACTGTTGTGGATTTGATTGACTGATGAAGCCATGTTTTGGTTTGACCACCGCTAGCTCTCTTTTCCAGCCTGACCCTATGTCAGCTAACATTGCCCGTCGAGGAAGGCGATCGATGGCTAGGTATGCATGAATAACACATGTCCTAACCATCTCAATCGGTGTAACTTCACAGCCTCGTCGATTGATTTCCCCCTCCTTACCTAGCACTCGACCGAAGCCTAACCTCAGTATTGCTTACCCCACTATCCCTCTGTATCCGTGCTGAGATTTCGTCAGAGATCAACCCATTGGGGCTGATGGTACTTCCCAAATAAATGAAGCGGTCAACGTGCTTTACCACTTCACTCCTTATTTCTAAACTAGGAGTCAATGTAGTCCAGTCCTGTAACATCATCTTACATTTGGCGGGAACGAATCGCATGCCAAACATTCGTAGATTGCAGCTCAAGGCGTTCAGAAGACTCTGCATTTTGTCAGCGTCCTCGCCTAGAAGGACTATATCATCTGCATATTCTAAGTCAACGAGATTATTCCCTGGTAGCAAGTCAATCCCTGAGTCGCTGAAGTGAGTTAGGGTTAAGTCCATTAGTACATCTATGATGAAATTGAATAGAAATGGGGATAATGGGCATCCCTGACGGACACCACTAGTCGTCACCACTTCAGATGAAAACTCGCCATAAGCCCTCACCTGGCTGCATGAGTACGAGTAGAGTGCTTTGATCAGTGCAATGTATTTTCTCGGCATTCCCTTTACAGCCAAGCATCGCCAGAGAACCTCTCGGTCGACAGAATCGAGTACCGCCTTTAGGTGAAGAAATATGATTGTTGGACGCCGGTAAGGATGCTTATGTTCTAGAATCTGTCGAAGGGTGAAGATATGATCAATACAGCCTCTTCCTGGTCTAAAACCTGCCTGGTTCTCTCGTGTTTGTGCCTCTCGAGCATCACTTAGTCTACGCAATATTACTGAGCACTGTATTTAGCAGTCATTTCATCTGAGCCTTAGATACGACACCTTTTTATTTATTTATATTACTCTGATGTACCCTGAAACAGTGTGCTCTTTTTAGATCGAACATAACTATTTTGTAGTTGGTGAGAATTATTAATTTAGGATGAGATTGGTTAAATACTAGGTAGATTCCTGAGGAACTAGCTCATACATCGGTTTGAATTATTCTCTGTTGTAACTAAAAGCCTCAGTACATAGTAACTATGATTATCATGAAGGCACTGAACGGTGGGGGTTTTACTATATATTTTTAATCAATACTCCTCGCGTTCCGAGTGGAACGTAGCGCTTCAGCCTTGAGCTTAGAAGTTTCATTAGCAGTAATTTTAATTTTACGGGCTGGGACTGCTAGCCTCACGCTCAATCTTCTCTCTTTACCAGGATTACTATTGGCTAAGCGAGGTTTAAGAGTGTTTCTGTCAGGGATCGAACCCTTCACTGCATGTGTCGTTGGAGAGCACTCTACCGCTGCACCATCAATGTTAATTTATACTTGAGTTATTTAGTTAGGGCAAAGTTAAACTCTAAGCACCACAACTACCAATCAGCGAATGACCTCGAACGCACCAATCACCTGAAGGAGGCATTTTTGCGTATGGAATACATATATTTATGAAAAAAATACATAAAAACTGTATAAAAAGGTTAAAGAGGATATCTTCCTCCCAAATGTGATAAAAATTGCTCTCAGTTTTAGACTGGAGTATCAACAGACTGTAGTTCCATCGTGGGCAAAATTTATTTTGATAAAGTCTCATTGTTATACAGTTATATTTACTGGGCAATAAATTGTGCTCGAAACTTGGTCATCAGTAAATATTACTGTGAGACTTTATCAAAATCAATTTTACCCACAATGGAATTATACTCTACCAGCATAGTGCACAAGTTCTATTCTTATATCAATAGAGTAATTTAACCACATTCTATGCATGTAATTATTTAGGTCTTCTAACCCTAACAATAACCCTAATCTTTCCTGAAACTAACCCTAACGTGAAAATATCCCTAAACTAACTGTAATCTAACTCGAATCAACCCTAATGTCGCCTTCATTAGGTTAACCTTACTCTAACTTGTCCTTGGCTTAAAGCGTAACTTAATCTTTCCCAAAACTAAGGTGAAACTTGCTAGAAATCACACTTAATAGCATAACACTTCGATGAGCCTATTTTATTGATGATGACAACATTATTTGCCAGGTTTCACTAACTCGCTCAGTGAGCGTTTCAAGGTCATTGGTGCAGTCTCACTCCATTGGCAGTAGTTAGTGGTGCTTAAAGTTTAACTTGGCCTAAGGTTGGTAGTGGATGGCAGTAGAATCGATGGTACGCGTTTCATCCCATTCTAGAGTTATCGGATGGGTATACCAGGCAGTATCCCAGCATGTAGCGGTGTTCTCACTGAGAAGCAAAGCCATCAGCCATGTTTTTTTCAAACTCTAAAGTGTAATCCACTAGACTAATGAGCTATTGAGTTATATTAATAATATACATGATGAGTATATTTCATATTGAAACACCAAAACCTCAATCTTTTATTAGTTAAGAGTACTTTTTTGATGTACTTTTATCTAATAAATCGTTTAAGGGAAACAAGACTTGGAGTGATGTGAGAATAGTTTCATTGGAAAAAAAATATAGCAACATGTTCTCAAGACATGTGAAACCTCATTATTTTTTATATATATATATTTCAAAACAAGTTTTCAGGTGCTACCTAGTTTCATAAGCATGACCTCCTGTATCATGCATAGATGCAAGTATTTATAATGCATCAACTGATCCCACAAAACTTCATGCATTTATTCCCCTTGATGAATTTGAATAAAGCAAGAACAACAGTGGCGGTTTGTGCAGAATAATATGGTACCATCATTTATTTCGTAGGCTTCTCATCAGCTGCTTATAGCCTAAATAAATTATGAGGTTTGCGTACAGAAAAGTTTTAACATACTTGCAAATTTTTTACATGTTGTCAGTTGACAAAAAGTTCCACAGTAAGTGAACAGTGCTCAGAAAATTGCGCTTATATAGTTTTTACACAGGCAGTTCAAGTTTAAACAAAATAGATGTATGCATACAATGGTAAAAGAGTTACGTAATAAAGACGAAATATGAGTTAGATACAGAGTGACTAATAAATTAGGTAAACAATGTACTGAGTTCAACTCAAATCATAGAAACAAGAGACAAGCAAAATTACAGAATATAAAATGGGGTGAGGTTAAAGACAAAGATTACGTAATCAGATGAGAGAATAAAGACATTCAGTTACCAGGGCAAAAAAAGATTAATAACTGCTTCTTTCTGAACACATAAATCTGGTTTCAAGCGTTTGATAGAGATTGCTTCGGCAAACTTGAGAAGAATGCAACTCCTTTGTCTATTGATAATTTTAAAGGATTTCTCGATTTTTACCTCATGACCCGTGTCGAGAAGATGTCTAGTAAGAGCGCTGCTATAAGAGTTTGTTCCCTTGAGACGTAGGCTTTTTGGCACATGTTCAGAAAATCGGAGGTGTGCCCTTCTTTTTCTGTTCTTCCAATGTAACTGCTCCCGCAGATACACGTAAATTTGTATATACAGTTGGCGTTAACATGAGAAGGGTATCTATCGACTTTTGACTGCACCAAAGAGCATGTTGTTCGATGGACGGGAACCAACTTAGCTGCAGGATAGGCTCTGGCTAGTGATGTTCTCAGTCTTCTGTTGATCATTTCTGCAATGTTTTCACCTTTAAAATCTAGTTGAATGAAGACAGGCTTTTTTTCAACTGTGATTTGTTTGGTATTTGAGCCTTCACATCTTCCATATTTGTTAATGAATCTTTGAGGGTAACCGTTGTTTTTCAGCACCTTTTCGAGAATCATAAATTCTTCCTCCAGTTTCTCTGTAGAGCATATTCTCCTTGCTCTATAGTACAGAGTCTTGACTAGTGCTCGTTTATAGCTATTTGGACAAAAACTATGAAAATGTAAGTATTGTCCATTCCATGTAGGCTTTCGGTAAATTGACCTCTGGAGATTACCATCTTCTAGGCGTTGCATGGTGATGTCATGGAAATGGAACTTCCCGTCATTTTCATGTTCCATGGTAAATACACTATTTGTATGTGCTTTGTTGAATAGGCTGAGTAGGTAGGAGGCATGACTTTCGTTGTTGCATACTACACAAACCCACAAAAGTTGATGTAGTTTGAAATCGATCAAGTCTCTAAAAACTAACACTGATACTCACTGGTGATTGGCTATGGGATGGACGTCCTAGAATTCTAATGAGAAGTGGTGAGCATTGGGGTCCATTGAGTCAGATGTCAGGATAGATGTTTGCTGATGACATTCCTAGCACTTGCATGCCGTATTTTCTGGGCAGCCTCCTTAGCTTCATACATTGTATGAACATTCCATGTTGCCATTCTTATTTTTGCTTTCATCGAAAGAGGAAACATTGGCTAACTGACTTCCTGAAGGCTTCCACCAACCCAAGTCCGATTCCAGCAAAAAATAAATTTGTTTTTTTAAATATTTTTTAAATATTTCTCCTGAACATCGAAGTTTCTGGAACAGTTTGATTGATTTTCCTGGGTATTGTGTCCAACCTTCCCTGTTTTCCCGGGCTTGGAACAGGCTAGAAAACTAGCGAGCTAGTAAGCTAGGCGAGTTGGATGGTGGCGCTACATATTGCGAATTGGCAGAAGTTTGAATTCTTGGATTCTGTTATAGTGGTTGAATGTTCAACGGGCTCTGCTCCCCGAAGTAGGTCTAGATTAGATACCTGTCCAATACTCCCTGGCATGCAGTGGTTTTTTTGGCTGATGTCAATTCGTAACTTAATTTGAAATCAAGCGTATCCCTGTAAAATAACACCAGGAGATTTATAATGGGTAGAGGATGAGTGGAAATTGAGAAGTAGTGGAAAGATGTTTCATCTTATTTTGATACTCGTCAGTATTATGTTCTGCAGATCGTAAAGGAAGCTCTGGGCTGATCAATCCAAGCGACTCTTGAATCAACCACCAATTACAACTTATCCAGGAATACCTTCCAAGAATTCTTAAATTTCATACATTTGGTTCCCTTGATAAATTTCGATAGAGAAAGAAAGACCAGATTTGCAGTATAAAATGATGCCATCATTCTATTTCACAGGTTCTCATCAGCTAACTGCAAACTACCTGAAATTACAATGGTTATAAATAATAACATTTCATACTTCATTGTTTGAAAGGTAATAGAGAAAACATTATAAGATGAATGCATCCGGAATATAAGGATTAAAATTTATAGCTTAAGTTACTATCAATTTATATACTATCAAACTATGTCGAGATTTCCAAATCCTTCAAAATATTAAACATACAAAGGACAGCGAATCTACTACGATTTGCTAAAGCAATTGCAATCAAACGTCTCAGACCAAACTTATGCACACAGAAAGAGAGAGTGTAGTCAATCTCTCACCTCCTTGGTAACCATATCACTTTCATTACACTGATTACTCATACACACTAGTGGGCTCAACTCACTAAGCAAGTTTTCAAATTGATGAACTTTGACCTTGTTGAGTTGCCATGTTGACACTGTTTATTAGATTTTTCTGTTTTCTGTCTTCTCTCACCCCCCCTTTTCTTTTTTCATAGTTTGATAGTATATAAATTGATGGTAACTTAAACTATAAATTTTAATCCTTATATTCCGGATGCATTCATCTTATAATGTTTTCTCTATTACCTTTCAAACAATGAAGTATGAAATGTTATTATTTATAACCATTGTAATTTCAGGTAGTTTGCAGCTGATGAGAACCTGGAAATAGAATGATGGCATCATTTTATACTGCAAATCTGGTCTTTCTTTCTCTATCGAAATTCTTAAATTAATTGACAATGATTCCAGAGTAATGAAGATCTGTTTTGCTATGCAGATCCTGGCTAGCTTTGACATCCTCCTCGGTGCTGTCTCTAGTTGAAAGGACGCTGACCAAGCAGATGAAGCCTAGTCTAGAAGCACAGTATTTTTCACCATCATAAGCTTGTGAAAAATCTGAAATGCTCTTCAGATACCAGAACTGAAGCAAGTGGTTGTCTTAAGGGGCGATTTTCCCCCATAAAGCAGTAAAGCAGCGTCAGGAGCTACCTTCCCATGGTTGATAGTAATCAAAGCAGATTCATGCGCCATGTGTTCCTGCAGGATACTGGAGCCCATGTACACCATAAGTTTAGACTCAAGATTTTGCAGCTCCCCCACTAGGTAAACCTACATGTCCACCAGTCTTGTTGTAAGCGCCAGATGTTCGCACTCACCGCCGTCTGAAGGAAGTGAATATGGCATGTCAGACACAGACTATGAACGCGTGGCCACTTGAGAACATTTCGAGAGAGAGAGGGATACAAGTGAAGCCCCATAACTGCTCAAATCTCAGTAGGTAGAACGAGGTTCAAACCAGAGAGTGACCTAGTGGTTGGAATTCAACAATTTAGACCGATGACATACAGTGTTTCATTTCTGATCTAGTTCTGGTCACTCGATCTGCATGGGGGGGTTTGATCTCTGGCAGGTTTGTAGATGTTCTGTTTTGAAGAGTTCCAAAGTAGTGAGAAATAGCTGTGCAATGCTGCCGGGTTTCCGGTGATTCTTTAACTTGGTGTTTGATGTTCGTGATGTCTGTGATTTCGACGTTTTCCCGATACATAATATCACTAGTTACTTTTATTGTTACTATTATTGTTACTTTGGTAACAAATATTTTTTATTTATTCTAAATACTTTTTCTAGTTACCATGATCAGAAGTATGAAAGTGTAAAGTTATTCAACTATGTTCCATCATTATCAAAAGAAACACTTGACAATATCTCCGCTTGTTTATTCGGTAAGTGACCTGATTTGAAAGTCGACTGTTCACACATACAGTATGACTGATGACCACATCCATTCATGCATTAAGTTACATATATACATATACTTACATAAAGCTTCATTCTAAAGTGTGTGCGTGTGTGAGTGTCTATATGTGTGAGTCTTTCCAGCCACAGTAAAGACGTCTATTCCTTTCTATTTAACTGAAGCTATCAGACGGTTTCACAGATGGTTAATTTTTACCAACAGACTTTGACAAATCAGAAAAAGTCTTTGGGATGTTTAATTGATATGAACAGTCAGTATAATAAAGGTTATTTTGTATTTCGCAATGAATGAATGAAAAACAGAACGATACTGTTGCTTTTACTGACGTTTCGCTACTTAATACTGCTGCTAATAGCTTTATATAGGTCTGATTTCCCACAAACTGGAAGATATGCAAGCGAAAAGCAACAAGTTGGCAGAAGAAGCATCAAAGATAGGACTTCAGGTGAACATAGAGAAAACAGAGGTGATGAAAATTCCTGGGCAACACCACCTATAGCAACAACAACAACAGACAACAATCAGCATGAATAGGATGAATCTGAAAGAAACAACCTCCTTTACCTACCTGGGAAGCATCGCCTCAACTACAGGCGGACGGAACTGACGAGGATATCAAAGCAGTGAGGATCGGGAAAGTAAGGCAAGCTTTCACTACTTTCAAGTCTGTGTGGAGGTCAACAGCACTCAGCATCAAAACGAAAATAAGATCCGGATTTTCAACTCCAATGTGAAGTCAGTCAGTGCTACTCTATGCGGATCAGAGACTTGCACTGCGCGTCACGAAGGGCATCTCAAACAAACTACAGACCTTCATTAACAGTTGTCTTCGCTCAATACTCAAGATCAGATGGCTGGCCAGAAAATATCAGCAACAGAGATCTCTGGGAGCGAACCGACCAGGAACCGATTGTGAAACAAATATGCAGAAGGAAATGGAGATGGATTGGCCATACTCTGAGGAAATCATCAAGTGACATCACTAGACAAACCATTGCTCGAGTGGAACCCGAAAGGGAAGCGGCGTGTTGGTTGTCATTGCAAGGGTGACTTGGAGGAGGTGATTTGAAGAGGAGATGAAAACATGTGGGCAGACTTGGAGCCAGGTGAAGACTCTAGCAGAGAACCGAACTCAATGAAGACGCACGGTTGAAGCCCTATGTTCCTCCAGGAATTAAAGGACACAATAATAATAGCTTTATCAAAGTAGTAATATTAAACCAGAATTTACAAAATCTCCTCAGCTTATGTATAACAACTTAATCATCTTTCCTCAGCATGGGGTCACTTTTTCGTTGTCAAATTGACCAATTGGTAAAGATAACAAAATCAACACTGACATTAAGTATAGTCGGTCGAAAACGTATCCCTAAAACATGTACCTCAACAGTTGTCATTCCATATAGAGCAGAGACATTTGACGATATCAGAAGAATACTCAATAAGCTCGATGTCAGAGTTTTTTCTTCAAAACATCGGACACACTGAGAAGCAACCTTGTCCATGTAAAAGGTCAAATCCCTTAGGATTCTCTATCTAATTGTGTCAGTAAAATAAAATGTGTGAAATGTGATGCGATATACATCGGACAGACATCACGAGAAATCAAAATTAGAAGAAATAAACACCGTAGAGCATCTGTTCAACCACCGAAAAATCCGGTTGAACTAGAATAGCTTAAAAAATCATCAGATTGGAGATGTATGAGGAGAGGATTATTGTGTGAAGACTCGTAAATATTTCCAGGCAAAGTTAAACTTTCGACACCAGTAACAACCAATCAGCAAACGACCTTGAACGGACCAATCACATGAAAGAGGCGTTTATGATAAGCGGAAACGTATATTTATAGAAAAATGCATAAAAAAAGATAAAACGGTTACAATGGGTATTTTTCCCGAACATGGGAGAGAAACATTTCTTATTCAGCATGCGACTGTCAATAGAGAAGTCGCACGACATTCTATACATATATTCATCTAAATGGCTATAAATGAGATCCTTTTGAGATCCATTTATAGCCCTTATTCTATTTTTCAATCGACCACAAAATCCTTCAATGGAATTTGTATTAGTCCCTGTAACTGGATCCACGAAATCACTGGAGTGGTTCACTCTGTGATGAATGTATTCCAGGGATTACAATGAATCATAGCCTTTCCACTCGTCGGTATGAACATTTGATCCCAGTTTCACAAGTCGCTTTATAATAGGTACCAGAGTAGTCGCCTTCCTGTCTGCTATTCCTTCAACAAATCCTTTTCGGAGGGACGTGTCGTATAAACCTATGACCCAAATGTTGTTAGCTCTCTGACGACAGCGGTTATATTTCTTCTTCACCAACACTGTCTCATCCACATGGACTACTACGTCGTCCCCGCCTAACAACGAAGTAATTCTGTCCATTTTCCATGAGGCGATGTCCCTGCAGTGCTGGTATACCAGTGGTATACCACTGAACTGTTGAGACGAGGCTATTCTCCGTCTTGGCAGCAGCGGCTCTCACGGGCTGTCTCAGTACCCGGTAATTGCAAATGTACAAAATCTGGGTTAGGGAGAGATGCGACCTAGCAAAAATATCTCCTACGAAATATTACCCTCTCAAATATTAACTCGCTTCCAGCATATCACAAAACGATGTACAGAACCATCAGTTTACCTAGTATAGCTTTTTAGAGTCATTACACCATCACACGAACAACTTCTCTCCTTTCGAAGCAAGCCTAAGTCTAGGCAATACTGAAAGACACTATCCTCCTAGAATACCAAACTTAACCTTGTAAGGGCACACATTGAAATGAATCAAGCGCTATACAACATTGAACTACGTTCGTGAATCTCATTGGATAATTAGACGTCGTTCGCTGATTGGTAGTTATTGGTGTCTAAAGTTTAACTTGGCCTATTTCCAAAATCCAGAAGATGAATGACTTGAGATGAGTCACCAAGAGGCTTTAGCAGTTACTTTCTTGACCTCCCGAAAAAGTCTCCAGCATTAGTTAAGAGAACACCGCATGACTTTACGGTTTGGTGCCGTCCATGTTTTAATCTGAAAATCCCTTAACTCTCTTACTTTATTTATCAAGAAAGGCGATGGTTCGGTACGCATATACTAGCTAGTAACTCAACGCTGTAAAAAGAAAACCACCTCTACTGAGACCTCAGAGTTTGAGGCCTAAAGCCTTATGTTCCCTTTAGAAAGCGAGGGTAGGAACCAGATGGTCATCATTATATTGCTTATTTGTACTATAAGATATCCGTTCAGATGATTCACAAAAGGCCTTTTCAGTAGGCTTTAGACTTTCGTCAATACCTGCCTTTAGTTAATACTGAAGACAAGGTTAAACGAGCAAAGAGGAACTCTATCAGAAGACCAACTGACAACTTACTGCTTAACAAGTTGCAGAATGAAATGGAGATAGATTAAGGTATACTCTGAGGAGACCTCCAAATGACATCACGTTCCAGATTCTCGGGATGGGAAGGAGTGGAAGGCAATAAGCTGGAGATGGGGCAGGCACCGAGGTTGACACAGGAGGTCATCTGAAGAAGAAGATGAAATGAAAGTTGGTAGGCGGTTGTAAAGCCGACAACCGAGTGAGATGGAGTTGTGGCACTGAAGCCCAAAAATTTTCATAATTATAATAATAAGATTCAATTCATCCGGTCTACGTTAAATTTAATAGACAAGAGGTAATACGTCACTAACTGACACTTGACTGTCCGTAGTAGACTGTCTGAACAAACGGTATACACTTCATATTTCATATTAAGTGGAATAAAATCCGTTTGATTGAAGTCTTTGTGGCTACATCAAGCATACACAAAGAAGCCTTGCATAATCTAACATTAATATGAAGTAAAGTGTCGGCATACCGATGCATTATCTAAAGGAGCTGTTACTACGCTGCACCTTCAACGTCTACTTCAGATTCAACAATGAAAACTACAGGCAAACAGATGGCGTAGCAATGGGCTCTCCACTCGGACCACTCCTAGCCGACTGTTTTATGGCAAGCCTCGAAAACAACCCCTTATCATCAACTATCGACGACCTTCATCTCTACAAGACATACATTGATGATACTTTCATCATTTGTGATGAGAAGCTGGACCTTGAAAACTTACTCCAAATCTTCAACAACGCCCACTCAAACATCGACTTTACACTGGAGACCGAGTCCGACGGAATGTTCCACTTCCTGGACGTACATCTGACAAGAAATGACAACTCTTTGAAAAGGTCCATATAAAAAAGCCTACATGGACTGGACAATTCATCAACTTTCAAAGCTTCGTACCGCTAAGCAGAAAGAGGAACCTGATATACGCTCTTTCCTCAAGGATTCGGAAGATATGCAGCGAGGAAATGATCGAAGAAGAACTGCGTAATCTCCGAAAAACCCTGATGGAAAATGGTTTCCCGCCCAGGTTCATAGACAAGAATCTCAAACCTAAGAAGACTTCTGAACAAGTTCAAACCGTCCCAGAGAAAATACTTCTGCTTAATCTAGAATTCAAAGGTGATATTGAAGCGGAAATCCTTCGCAAACGCCTCTGCAAACCTCTAAGGAAAACATACTTCGCCGCGAGCCTACGACTGACGTTTTCTTGCAAGAAACTGTTCAGCCAGAGCGTGAAAGACAAGCCGTCGCATTGGGCCACCTCAACGTGCATATACCAGTTTACTTGCTCTTGTGGAGCTGAGTACATTGGCCGTACCATGCGCCAACTTGGAAAACGCACTCGCGAACACTACCCAGTCTGGCTAGTAAAAGGAGACCGAAAACGTGTATACAGTTCAGTGACAGAACATCTGGTCAACTCAGGATATTCAGCGCCTTTCGAAAAGTCCTTCAAAGTAATATACAAGATTCAATCAAACCTATCAAAGGGAGTAAAATCAAAACATCTGGGCATAACTGAGGCACTAGCTATCCAAGAACTCAAACACATTCTTTGTATCCAAAAGAAATACGTCCAACCCCTGTCCCTGCCATGGCCATCGTAAACAGGTAAATTTTTTAATAATGACCATCCTATCGCCTTTCTTATCCAAACTTCCTGTTTATTCATGTTATTTTAAGTTTTCTTAATCCCTGTCTACACTACCATATTTTCATATCCACACTTCCTGTTTATTTTGTCATTTTCCTATTTCTACATATTTAATCCCTGATTGCATAAACAATTATTCATCACACTAGTTTTTTATCCAAACATCCTGTATATTTTGTTATTTTTACATTTCTAACCCCCGATTGCACAATGTCAATTTTCTTAGTTATTATGCTACTTTGTTTGAGTTTTACCCATCCCCCTGTTTATTATGGCATTCCAATTCCTAATTGTAATTTTTATTAATTTGACCCCTAACCAGAAATTATTCTGGAACTTTCCTATCCATTTGATATAAATACACGAATGTACAGCCTAGATGATGACGTCGTCGAAAAGAAAATTTTCTTCGCTGCAACTGTCTTCTTATTCCCTATGATCAAAAGTGTTATTTATCATGAAAGAATTTATGAATGTCATATAGGAGTAGAGTACTTTTAATGACAAACGTGACCAACTTTACGAATGTACACTAACAGAACTTACTAGAACTGTAATGCGGAGTTATAAATCAAAGTTAAGGTCAACTGACACATTTTAAGTACATCTGTGATGTGTATGCATTATGATGCTTGTATACACACAGATATAAGCGTTGTTCTTTGATTCATGACTTTTCCGACTTATTCCTGAATTTTAATGACATGATCTCGGAATATCTTGCATTCACTATCACAGAGATGTCATAACAAGATCACGAAGCGATATCAGTTAGTGAATCAGTGAAATCCTCGGAAGTACTGGACAGTGGTTTCATCTTAGTTTGGAACTCTTCAACGCTGTGCACCTATGACCCCTCTGCTCCCACCCAAAGATCAAAGCTAAAGCAAGCGCATTATCATTTCGTCAGTAGGATGGAATCCTTTGGAGTATACTGTTGAAGATTGTCAAAATAAGAAGGAAAAGCTGTCGAGAATTCTTTGGGTTTAAGTGATTCTCTCTCCCAGTTTCTGACTGTACTTAAAGTCACTCATATCTCTGCAAACCAAAACTGGGAAATTCGTCCATATCTTACCAATGTTCAACTACGGGATGGATGTCACAGAGTTCTAGTGAGAACTTGTGATCAGTAGGGTCCACTACATGTAACTGAGAACGAATACTCACGGATGACACTGGCTGGCAGTGGTGCTACATATAAATTACTACAGAAGTTGGGATTTATGAGCCATTGAACTCTGTTCTAGTGGCTGAATAGTCAACGACACTGCCTCATAATCTGAAGGTCCTGGCTTCGAGTTTCAGAGGCATGATTTGTTCGTAGTGTTAAAGAGTTTATACTAGGGTGAAACAACTGTTGAGTTCACTGAGTTAGTGTTCAGTGGTTCTCTAACTAATACCTATTCGTGACGCAACTTCAAACAAATTGAATCCCTGCAAACTAACGCCAGAAAGTTTGATGGCGGTGTCGGTATATGTTGCGAATCAGTAAAAGTTAGAATTCATTGGTCGTCCGACTCTGTCACAAGAAGTGAATGGTAAACCAGCTCCCCTTGTCACCTGAAGTTCCTGGGTTCCACTCTCAGTGGGGTTATTATTATTGTTTCATAGGCTTCCCAGTAGAACACAGAGCCTCAACAGCACATCTCCACTTCGTCTTAGTCTCTGAGGTCACCTTTAATTGGCCTCAAAATTGCCCATAATCTCTCATCTTCTCCTTGCACGATCTCCTTCATGTCACCTTCGGACGGCTCACTCGTCGTTGCCCATTCGGATTCCACTCGAGTGATGGTCTGGTGCGCGATTTTATTCGATGGTCCCTTCACTGTTTGTCCCATCCACATCAATTTCCTTCTGAAAATTTGTTTAGTAATTGGTTCTTGGTTGGTTTTTTCGCAGAGTTTCTTGTTGCTAATTCATTCTCGCCGTCTAGTCTTCGATATGCAGCGAAGCCAGCTGTTGATCAAAGTCCACAGTAGCCTGTTGGAAATGCTTCTCGTGACACGCGGGTCATGTTTCTAACCCATTTTGAACAGCTCACTGACTTAACATTTGCCTTAAAAATCTGAACCTTGTTCCTTATGCTGGAGGTGGAGAAAATTGCCAAACTGATTTCAGGGTGATGAATGTCATCTGCCTTGTTCTTCTGATTCCAGTTGTGAAGCTTTCAACCGTATGTCATCTGTAGTTGAAACGTTGCTTCCCACATAAGTGAAGTAAGTGATCTCTTTTAAATTTCTCTCACTGGTAGTGACTGGTGCCGGTTATTGTTGTTAGTTGGTTGGTTATCTTCATTACCGACGTCTTATCTGTGTTCACTTGGAGTCCTGTCTTCATTGTCAGTTTCTTCACCCAACCAGCTGGTTTTCACCTGTAGATCTTCGAGTTTCTGTGGCAGTAGACATAAATCATCTACGAAATTTAGATCTTCCAGTGTCTTCTTATCAGTTCAGTATACTACTGCCTTCCAAGGGGGGTGATAGATATTTTTATTCCTTTAAGTTCCCAGTGGAATATGGGGCTTCAATCTACAGCTTCGAAATTTCATTAGCAGGGATGTTTCTTTTACGAGACGGAGTTGATAGCTTCATTCCCAGCCTTCCCCCTTTAGCGTTCTTATTACCGACCTATGGAGGTAAAGGAGTGCATCGGCCGGGGATCGAACCCCAAACCACTTGAGGCGTGGTTGGTGAACGTTCTACCGCTTTTCCATCGACGCAAATAGGTGATAGATGCTCCGAATTGAAAAGAAACGGTTTTCCATTACTCCCTGCTTTTTGTTGATACCTTCAACTAATGTCCATTCATCTAATCTAATTTAGGATCAACCAGATCCCTGAAACACGCAACATCTGAGGCTTGAAATTGCACAAGAATAATAAAAACTTGTATACACATGTTAAAGTTTTTTTCAAACCATTTAAATTAATCGATTTTTCCTTAATATTTACTTTCAGTATCATATTTTCTTATTTTTTAATAATAATAATAATATGCTTTATTCCAGAAACAGTACTTTTGGTACAGTGTGGAATTTTCACCACATATCTACAATATTCGCATCTAATTTTACAAACATTTAAAAGGAGTATTTCAAAAAAATAAATCTAAAGACACCAACAGCAAAAAAACAGGATAGACACAAAATAATTATAAATGCGAAAAGTACCAAGATGTAGAAAGGACATAAACATCATATAATAATAACTCACTATTGGGTAGTGGAAGCTATGATATCATTATGTATAGTGACAGTAAAGCTATAGTCATACAAGAAGTTATGAAGTGATATTTAAGAATGTTTATCGCCAAGGTGGTCAGTTAATTTGGTTGAAACAACTCTAAACAATCATAAAATAACATTTCAGGGTTGTTGTTTTGTTTTTATTGTCAGGTCTAATGCAGTGTTTGTAGTGGTAGTGTGAGTAATCCTGAATAATACAAAAAGTTTTTAAGGTGGTGACTATGGCATTCACAACTAATGACTGTCAGTTTAATATTGCCGAAAAGTATAGAAAATAAGAAAAAACAACCACAAAACTAATAATTACATGATGGTTAATGACAGGACAATTTTGTAATACTCATAGTGCTAATAGAGTCGGAACCAGTGGACACGCAATAGAAGGAATATAGTAAAGTACAAAAAGTAAGCCAATGTTAATATTTCAGGTAGCTAAGTTTGTTTGAGAAGGAGTTCACTATAGAATACAGAATAAGAGAGAAATAAAAGAGCCTAAATTGACGTTATTATCAACAAAGCAAGTCATAGGTTTCGCGCTTAACATTGTCTCTGTCACTTAGAACACGGGCCAAATATGGTATCGTTGAGTTCCTGTACTTGGTTGTACGAGCATAGATTATTTTATACTGATTTCTGGTTTTACTTGATGAGATACAAGGCGACAGTTGGGAATAGAGAGGGTGTTGGGGGTCTGAGAGTATGGTTTTAGACTATTTTTCGCATGTATTCAGATGCCTTTCTACTAATGTAGTGACGAGCTGACTGAGTTTTACACCACTAGTCCTACTAACTACCTTCAACATCCTTCTCAGGATGGTGTAGTCCTTTTTCAGTAGACCAGGGAAGACTGACGGGGAGCAGTAAAGTAGAATAGGTGAGATACAAGAGTTGACAAATTGTGAAAGTAGAGGTTGGGTGATTCCAGATTGTCTAAGTTTCTTGATGTAGTAGGTAAGACAGAACACTTACTTAGAAATCGTTAGGATATGAGATGTCCAAGTAAGGTCGGAAGATAGAACTAGACCGAGGTATTTTGCATTACCTAATGAAAAGATTCAAGTGTGTATTTGTGTTGATTGATCGTATTTCTCATTATCGTTATCCTCAGCATAGACGTCTTCTTCTACTTCTTATTCTTCGTCGTGTTCATAGATTTATTGAAGCAATTCCATGGCAGACGAGAAATTCAATTCCCTTTGACTGAAGCTTTTTGTTGCTTAACAGTTGGATGTTTTGTAAGTTATTTTATTTCACATCGACACTAAATGGAATTAAAATCAAAAAAAAAGTCTGTGTGTTTGAGTGCTTGTTTTTAAATAATATTTTATGAGTAATAATTATGGAAATGATTAAGACCAGTGTGTGAGATACGACTTTCAATAAGTATAAAATCTGAAGGAACTTGGTTTTTCAACAGGTATTTAATAATAATAATTTGCTTTATTCCAAAACAGTACATGTGATACAGAATGGAATTCTCAGCATTTTTAATACAGTATTGCATCCAGTCAGTACATTATCAATAAATAGAATTCTGCATAGATTAAGGAAATCTCAGTTCATTACGACAACAACATATTGGCATGTCGGTAGCAAAGCCAAAGTGGAACACTGTTTGAAGGTGTTAGAAAAGTAGGTGCTATCATATTTACTGGCATAATTGAGAGAAAGAAACAAAGCAGCACATAATGAAAAAAAGAGAGAGAGGGAAAAGGAAAAGAAAGAAAACGTTGTACCTATAAATGATATGAGTTGGAAAGACGAGGTCTATTTGTAGTACTGACTATTTAATGAATTATAGGTGTCACGCCTAATGCTTTCTTTATCGCACAGAACACGAGCTAAGTAGGGTATGGTTGAGTTTTTGTACTTGCTGGTGCGAGCATATAGTTTTCTATATAGGCTTCTGGTTTTGCTTGATGAGATGCAAGGGGAAGGGAGAGTTGTGAGTGAAGAGGGTGGTGTGAGTTAGACAAAATGGATTTGACCCATTTTTCACATGAGTCTATGTTCCTGTCAACCCGAATATTACCAAGCTGGTTAAGTGGCACGTTGCTTACCCTGCTGACAACCTTTAACATCCTCCGTAATATGTTATAGTCTTTCTTCAGTAACCCGGGAAAAACTAAGGGGGAGCTATAGAGAATAATAGGCAGAATGCGAGAATTAACGAATTGTAGGAGTAAGGGTTGGGTTATACCAGAATGTTTTAACTTCTTGATGTAGAAGGTAAGACGGAATATTTTCTTAGAAATCATCAAGATATGAGACGACCAGGAGAGATCAGCAGATAGAATGACGCCTAGGTATTTAATTTCCGATTTGGTTTCTATTTCAGTGCCGTCTATGTTGCATGCCTCGTGAGAGCCAACCAGTTTGTTTAGGTCGGATTTATGCCTAAAGATGAAACTGACTGTTTGGCATTTTGAGGGGTTTAGGGTAAGACCGTTTTCCTTGAACCACTGGCTGATTTCTGATAGAAAGCCATTTAGTTTATGCTGCGAATATATAGTCATGTATTGCTTTACATTCCCAGTGGAACATCATGGGGCTTCAAGCTAGAGGCTTAAAGTCCCGGTACCAGTATAGTTTATTTTTACGGGATAAGGATTGCTAGCCTCATGACCAACCTTCCCTCTTTACCAGTCTTACTACTGGCTTAGTGAGGCAAAGGAGTGTGTCGGTGGCTGGGCATTGAACGCCTAACCACATGAAGCATGGTTAGGGAGCATTCTACCGCTGTACCACCACCGACTCAGATACTGCGAATATAACTTAACGTTTACTCCTACAAACACCATACAGTTTGCTTTACACTTCAGATTCACCTGAACTAGAAAGAACTGAATGCTTCATGTAGAATGTTCCACAAAATCGTAGCTTTTCAACTTACTTCACCTCATAATCGTCCAAATAACGATAGAAAAAGGGCGAAGGAAATGCTTGGAAACTATAATCAATGGAAGGTGTTCAATAAAAGAATGATGATATGAAGAATAATGAGAGTCTAATGGTTCTAGAGGGGCACACAGCCACTGAGAGCGATTTTGAGTCATTTCACTAATAGTCTCCAACTATTGGCGCTTAGCATTTTGAGGATGTCAACAAGGTGGTTTGTACCTCCATCTATATGGCTCAAACCAGTTGTCGGAGACGTCATGGATTATTTTGATGTGGTTGTGTTCTCTGAGCTGGATATTTAATTTGCGAAGCTTTCATTACCTTCATTACTACTAGGCAACATCTTCAGCGAATACTTCAATTTGTTGAAGTGAGCTTCTAGATTTCTCCAAGAGTTTATTAGTCATCTCTCCTGGTGGGTGATCTTGAACGTGATTGGTTGTTTTTGTGTGTTTTCACACCCCCTACTATAGGCTACTTGTGGTATTGGTACTGATTGTTTCCTTGACTTGAAGTTTGACCATTTGTGTGTGAGATTTCCTTCTTATCGACTGGTGAATTTTGTCTATGTCGATGCGTCTATTAATTGCCGCTTCTCACTGGAATACCAGGCTTCGAAAACCATTTTCTAGCATTCTTGGTGTTTCCTCTGTCTAATATTTGAACGCTGGCTGTCCTAGTTGAATTGATGTTAGTGGTTGTCTGTATGTGGTGATATGAGGGAGTGGATATTATGTCTTTTGACGGCTAGCTTATGTTCGTGGATACAATTTATTTTGTAGATGATGTTGGTTTTATCTTCTTTCGTTGTTGAGTACTTTGGTTGACACAGAACCAATTGAGTGAAGTGACTTTGTTTGTTTGTGTACGACGTCGATTCCTAAGGGTTTGAAGAGTCTTGCACTGATTTCTGAGATATCCTTTATATATGGTAAGGCGATTATCTTTGTGCTTTCCTTGGGGGCTTTTGGTTTGATAGGTTGGCTTGGGGGTATATGTTTTATGATGAAATTTCAAAGATATCCATCCTTTTGGAAGATTTCCATAAGATATCTTTCTTCAATTTTTTTAAGGTGGGAGTGCTGTAGTGAGTCCTGGTTGGCCCTCTTGAATAGTGTTTGTATACAATTCCTTTTGTATGTTATTGGATTGTTGCTGTTGTTATTCAGGATTTGGTCTGTGTGAATTGATTTTCTATAGACTCGAGTTTCTAATTCCCCTGTGCTTATTCGCTTGACTAAGATGTCCAAAAATTGGATTTGGTTCTCTGATTCCCCTTCTCTTGTGAATTTGATGTCGTTGAAGACGTTGTTTATCAGGTTGTGAGCTTTATCTAACTCATTTATTTTGATTAATACAAATGTGTCGTCTAGGTAACGTATCTAAATCTTGGGTTTGATCTTTGCTAGAATTATGTTTTCGAGCCTTTGCATCACTGCTTCTGCAATCAAACCTGATATTGGCGATCCCATAGGTGTTCCTTTGACTTGTTCATATATTTGGCCGTCGAATTGGAAGTATGTTGTTAGGCATAGGTTTATGCATTCCATCCAGCTTGTGTGTTGCATTTTTGATTGTTGCGGAAGGTGTTCGTCGTTGCTAAGTAATTAATGCATGGTTTCTTTTGCTAGTTTTTATCCGATTGAGGTATACAATTCTGTGACGTCGAAGGATATCTTTATCTATTGCTCATCTATTTGGATGCCTCATGGATTAATTCTCTGGGGTATTCGTGATATCTGGCTGGTTGTTGATCAAAAGTTGTGTGTACTGCACAGCAGCAGTTGCTCCATCCTCCCTTATGACTGTGAGAAATGAACATTGAAAGTGGAAGATACGAGAAGGCCGGCTACCTGTCTTTAATCATAGGTGTCTGCGTTCTAACTCTCGTGGTATAATAGGATGAGTAATATTGAGGTTAGGCAGATAGTACTCGGTAAGGAGCGAAAACATATAGACGAGGTTGTGAAGTTTCATCGATTGAGATGGTTAGGACATGTGTTACGCATGATCACTAGCACCATCGCCTTCCTAGACATAAGATGGATCAGGTTGGAAAACAGTAAGTGGTGGTCAAACTAAATCATGGCTTCATCAGTCAGTGAAATCCGTAACAGCTGGTTTAAGCCAGCCAGCCAGCCACGTAGGGAGGTGTAGAGTGGTAAGAACCAATGGCGACTGGAGATAATTGGTGACATGGCTCAAAATCGTTGTCAATGACCGGCGCAGATGCATTCCATCTTTGTGATTTGTCATATCCAATAAAACTCTATTGTTCTTCCTTCTCGCTCACTCACACCTCTGTTGATTGCCACTCTTCTGAATCTCTATCTACTCCCTTTTATTACTTTGCGTGGTACATGGAGGGAGTGTGACAATGCAGACTGCTGAGCATCTGTGCAAAGTTCTGTTTTGAAACAAGTCAGTCAGTTAGTTACGGATCAATGTCACTTTTTGGTGTGATCTCCTTTAACTCTTTTTCGGCCTGATCCTATTTCATATAATAATTCTCGACAGGAAAGGCGATGGCTTGAAGTACGTAACACGTGTTCTAGCTATCGCAGTCGGTGTAGCTTCACAGCCTCATCGATTAACTTCCTTTCCTTGCCTAACTTTCTACGCCTAACCTAATCACTACTGACAAGCTTAAATCATACAATACAGGAGATAGAATTCAGGTACCTATAGTCAAAGACGGCTAATCTCTTCATGTCTTCCACTTTCATAGGAGACATCTTACAGCAGTAACTTGCTTAAAAGTATGTTTAGTGAAACAATCTTTTCGATTTAAACTGCTGACAATTCTGAAGAGATAATCAACCACACTGACTAAAAACTTATACATGGAGTTCACTAACTATCCTTCAAATTTCTATTACAACTTATCATTAAACTATGACTGACTGATAGTTTGTTCCTTCCAATCGATTAGATCCTGTTAAATTTACAACATATAATTGTGTAATTAAATAATAAAGATTCTAAGTGATTGTCAGGAAACAGAGAGATGCAATGAAATTGGTGAATTTTATTCCGCTTGACTTGTTATCACTACTGTTGAGTTGAATTTTAAGGTCATAAAGAGAAATTTATGCATTGAGGCATAATAAAGTTATTTAGCTAACTGAAAAAACAACTCCCTAACAGGTTCAAATGATGGTATTACTTGTTTTCAAAGGGGAAGGCTAAAGCATTTAGCTTTATTATACTTTAAGTCCACAACGGGAAACTCATGGAGTCCTTCGAAGAATGAAGACGGGAGTAAGACAAGGCTGGCTGACTGTCTACTACCTCCAGGGATTTTCCTGATTGCGCTAGACTGGATAATGCGACAAACAGCGGGGGGAACGAGGAAACAGGCATAAAATGGACTCACACAAAAAACTTGGAGGATCTGGACTTCGCCGATGATATATGTCTGATTTCCCACAAACTGGAAGATATGCACGTGGAAAGCAACAAGTTGGCAGAAGAAGCATCAAAGATAGGATTTCAGGTGAACATTGAGAAAACAAAGATGATGAAGATTCCTGGGCAACACCATCAACAGCAACATCAACAGACAACAATCAGCATGAATAGGAGGAACCTGAAAGAAACAACCTCATTTACCTACCTGGGAAGCATCGTTTCGACTACAGGCAGAACTGATGAGAATATCAAAGCAAGAATCGGTAAAGCAAGACAAGCTTTCACTACTCTCAAGTCTGTGTGGAGGTCAACATCACTCAGCATCAAAAATAAGATCCGGATTTTCAACTCCAATGTGAAGTCAGTCAGTGCTACTGTACAGATCAGAGACTTGGCGCCGCACCGCATCACGAAGAGCACTTCGAGCAAACTACACACCTTCATCAACGGCTGTCTTCGCTCAATGCTGCTCAAGATCAGATGGCCAGAAAAGAAATCAGCAACAGGAATCCGTGATAGCGGACCAACCCAGGAGGAACCAATTGTGCAAGAAATATGCAGGAAGAAATGGAGGTGGATTGGCCATACTCTGAGAAAACAAGCCATTACCAAGTGAGTGACATCACGCGACAGGCCGTCACTCGAGTGGAAACCGAATGGGGAGTGGCGAGTTAGTTGGTCATCACCGATGACATTTATAACTATGCTAGACTTGATCATTTGGCGCACTGTGAGGAACGAGAAGGTAGGAATACGATACACCGATAGGAACAGGATTTTACGGGTGATTTTTGTCTCATGTCGTACAAACTTGAAGATCTACAGTCGAAAACCAGCTGGTTGAGAGAAGAGGTAGGCAGGGAAGACAGGAATCCAGTTGAACACAGAGACGATCTAGGTGATGAAGATAACCAATCAACTAACAACAATAACTAGCACCAATCACCATCAATGGGAGAAATGTGAAAGAGGTTACTTCCTTCACTTATCTAGGCAGCATTCTTTCTCTGCCTTCTCTGGCTCCATATTGAAGATCAGATGGCCGGCCCGAAAGAATCAGCAACGAGAAACTCTGGGAACGGACGCACCAAGAACCTATTATTCAGCAAACATGTAGAAGAAAATGGAAGTGGATCGAACACACTCTGAGGAGACCGTCGAATGATATCTCGCGCCAGGCCATCGCTTCGGTGGGACCCGAAATGGAAACGACGATTTGGGTGCGGTCCCGAAGGTGATATGGAGAAGACCATGTGAGGAAGGGATGAGTGCTTATGGGTAATCGTGGGACCAGCTAGAGAGGACTTCAGAGAACACGACAGAGTGGAGATGTTCTGTTGACTCCCAATGTTACATTTGTAACCCAAGGGAATAATAATAATAAACTATTACGATTTTATATTGTGCGTCGGTGGCATAGCGGTTAGGACACTCGCCGACCATACACATGGTCCGAGATTCGATCCCCGGCCGATGAACTCCTTTACCTCGCTAAGCCAGTAATAAGACTGGTAAAGAGGAACGGTTGGGCATGAGGCTGGCAATCCCATCTTGTAAAATAAACACTGCTACAGAAACTTCAAGCCACTAGCTTGAAGCCCTATGTTCCACTGGGGAACGTGAAGGAAAACAAAACGATTTTACATTGGGTTCATTTCCTTCTCTATTTTACTAACCAGTTGTAAGCCAAGAAAATTGGGAGAGTTGGGCATAAGCCTAAGAATCTCTCCTTCTAAAGGCTATACCACCTCCGCTACTGACACTTGTAAGCCTAGAACCCTATGCTTTATTTGGAATGCAAAGTTATGAAGAAGGCGAATTGCCTTTTACTTCTAATACGAACTCATATTTAGATATTTGTGCCGAAAAGTGAATCTTTTCATTTGTTTCACTGCTTATTCGTGACTTGGTTAGTTAAGCGCCTGGTGAATTTTTCAAGTGACTTATATTTTAGTGTATTTTTCACCTATTGTCTCACAGAGCAGTCATGATTGGATTGTTAGGTATCTGAATAAAATCTTTATAAGTTCACATATAATAATTGCAGTCGAATTACCTCTATGTATACACAAGTAAGATTGTATATAGATCTAACAGCACTGCATTTACAATACTGTCCGCCAATTGCGTGACCAGTTGCAGACAAAATAACAGATTGTTGTTTACAGGATTCCATCATAAGCTGACTTCGGTAAAACAACCATTGGAAACCCGGAAGTACTGGACAGTTGTTTCGTCCTAGTTTGGGACTCTTCATCAGTACGCACCCACTGGGGTTCAAACGCAGGACCTTCCAATTACAAGGTGAGCTCGTGGACCATTTAGTTCGGGTTCAAACCTCGATGGGTGCATACTGTTGAAGAGTCCCAAAACTAGGACGAAACAGCTATCCAGTACTCCTGGGTGGTTTTCTAATGGTTCTCTAACCGATGTCAGCTCATGATGAAATCCTGTAGCCAATCAAATCCTTGCAAACCAACACTTAAATAAATTGTTGCATTACGTAACATTTTTATAGAATATTTGGTGTACTTTAAGTTATGATTGATGCTCGCTTAGTTTAAAGAATGAAGGGAGGCAAGGATGGATTAGATTGGTGGGGTATCCTCGTTAGATCACATCCTAGTTTGAGGCTCTTCATCAGTACGCATTCATGAACCCTAGAGGAGTGTAAATCAAAATCTTCAGGTTTTTGAGTTGAAGTATTCGATGAAATCCAATAGCCTGCGAATTCTAACTTCTGCCGAATTGAAATCTATGCATAGCGACACTGCCAACCAGTGCAGTCGGTAAGTGTCTGGTCGTCCTCACATCCGATTTGATGGGCCTCATCAGTCACGACTTCTTAAAAGAACCCAAAGATATCCATCCCGTAGTTAGTTACTAATGGGCATTAGATTAATTTTTCAGAGCTGGTTTTCAGGGATCCTTACAATTTTAGCTGACAGCTGACAGAGTAAAGTTTAGCAAGTTCTCTTGAACACACGAGATCCATCGGCTTCTGGTACGATGGAGTTGACCCAACTAGTGACGTTAGGGAGTAGAAAAAGTTTAAATGTTACACTAATTACTTTGTAAGTGATCCACAACGGAAAACTCAGTGAGGCGTTTGGAGTAAACACAGGAGTCAGACAAGGGTGCTTATTATCACCAATGATATTCCTAATTGTGGTGGACTGGATTATGCGTCAGACAGTGGGAAACGAGAAGACAGGGATATCCTGGACCGACGTGAAGAACCTAGAAGACCTGGATTTCGCGCGTGGATGATTTATTTTTGATGTCACACAAAATCGAAGACTTACAAGCGAAAATCGACAAACTGGTCGAAGAAGCAGCAAAGACAGGACTGCAGGTGAACATAGACAAGACGGAGGTTATGAAAATAATCAACCAACAACAACAACAGCAACAGCAACATCCAGCGCCAATCACCATCAACGGGAGGGATTTGAAAGAGGTTACTTCATTCACTTATCTAGGGAGCATTGTCTCAACTACAGGAGGAACGGACGAGGATGTCAAATCGAGACGAGAATCGGGAAGGCGAGAAACACATTCATCAACCTGAAACCAATCTGGAAATCTTCGTCACTCAGCCTGCATCAACAACGAAATTCGGATTTTCAATACAAACGTCAAGTCAGTCAGTTCTTCTATACGGATCAGAAACTTGGCCAGTGTGTCACAAAGAATATTTCCAACAGCCTGTTGCAGACCTTTATCAACAACTGTCTTCGCTCTATACTGAAGATCAGATGGCCGGCCGGAAAGAATCACCAACAAGAAACTATGGGAACAAACAAAACAAGAACGAATCGCTCAACAAATATGCAGGAGAAAGTGGAGATGGATTGGACACTCGCTGAGGAGGCCGCTGGGTGATATCGCGTGTCAGGCCAGTGCTCGAGTGGAACCCGAAAGGGAAGCGGCGAGTGGGACGTCAGTGCAGGGGTGACATGGAGGAGATCGTGTGAAGAAGAGTTGAAACAGTATGGATTAACATGGATGCAGGTGAAAAGTACAGCAGAAGACAGAAGCAAGTGGAGACGTGCAGGTGAAGCCCTATGTTCCACTAGGAACCCAAGGGAACAATAATAATAATAATTACTTTGTACGTTCTAGTACTAAATTCCTTTTTCTAACTTCTAATCGATCAGATTTATTTATCCGTGCTCTTCTTTTCATTCTCTTTTTGTATGAATGTTTGTCAGGGTTTTGTCCAACTAGATCATGTACGCAATATAACCTCTCTGATCGATGGATCGTATAAAGAAAGTTCATCTTCGCCTACAAAGCAACGTGGACAAGAGAAGATTGTTATAATACGCTGTATGAATGGAGAATCTAATTCGGAGATTAATTTATCGAAGGATATTTCCGCCAACATAACTAATTCGACAGCAAATAATAAACCTATGACCAGTTCATTGCCGACAGATCTCGAAAATGATTCATCAGATAATGATGAAGTCTACGTTACCTCCCCGATAGTCTATACAAGCTTTTTAGTTTATGCTCTGAGTCTTCAAGAGTCAAGTATGGTGAGTTTTTGTCATCACTATTCCCGTTCATTCATTCAAAATCGTTTTCTTTTCGGGTGTAATATTCACATGTTTGAGCAGTTTTTTACCTTTTGCTATTCACCGTAAAGTCACTCGGATTCGAATCAAAACACTTTCCTTATGTAGTTGCTGAGATCTTGGTCAGTGTATATATACAGTATCAATTTAAAAAGAAGGTTTGAAACTCTGAGGCCGAACTATTTATTTCAGTTTAGGCTTTCCTGTTGATTGATTGGATCGGAGTGTTCGACCGCAGGTTGACATGGCGGCTCTTTGGCGTTTGAAACTATGGTTAGTGGGTTCAAGTTTCAGTGAAAACACTATCAAATTTTAGTGACGAGTCCCAAATAGGACGAAATGCACATTCTGGATTCCACTGCTTGTCGCCATCCACCATATTAATTCCGAAGCCCGATGTTTAAAGTTATAATTGATGGCAGGGAATATTTATGTCATGAAAGCCTGTCTTACTATTCGTATTACTGAGTTCAAATCTCCATCATATTCAGAATGTGAAGGTTACTTTCACCTCCCTTTTTCAGATATAATTGTCTCACCTTAGTCAATATGGTGTTGATGCTGACAGAATTCTATCAAACAAGTTTGATCATTATGGTCATCAAACTAATTGACTTACCATAGCAGGGTATTTTGAAGTGATGTCAGGTTGTTGAAGACAGTCGGCAAGAACCCTGAGGTTAACTGTGAGCCCGAATAACTCAGTGGTAACGTCTCTGAAACGGGTGAGAATCTCAGAGGGAGGATTAATTCCTTCCAGACTGGACATATGCGTTGCTGGTGGATGTCAACAAGTAGGAAGTCTAGATCCACAGCGTGCTGCCGACTACTTCCGACTATCTACCATCAAACTTATCTTATTTGGACATAGATTTTAGCTGGTAAGTTTTACGGCTGAAAATACAAGTCAAGATTTTGAATTATAGTGAAAATGAAACAACTGGGTATAACCTTCCGTCCTTTTGAGTCGAATCTTGCTGTCATAATCATGAAAGAGATTGGCTCCCACTGCGTGATAGCTTTGGCTGCTGTTAGTGAAATCATCATAGCTACTTCCTGAGTGTGCTCGTTGTTTTCGTCTGAGTAACCGGAGTAGATTATGATCTCTCCAGTTGACAATTTTAATAATCCACATTCATTCCATCTGCTGTCGCAGATTTCCAGCACTTCTGTACCATATCTTCTCATTTCTTTGGCTATCTGGACACCCCTCTCAGCCATCCTCGTACATTGTACGTACATTCCACATTTCCATTCTTAATGTTGCTTCCATTGAGAGAAGAACCATAGACTGGCTGGCTTCCCGACGGCGGAGTTTCACCAGTCCACTGTACCATTTCGCCTCTTCGATTTCAGCGGAAAATAAAATTGTTATTTGTATTTTTTGTATTTTTAATATTTTTCTTTTGTACATTGACAGAGACCGTTAAGTATCTAACTTCTGAAATCCACTAGCTCATGTCCTTAGGCTTATTTTAAAATCTAAAGGTCTTGGGCTCGATTTTTCATTAGATTTCAGGTTCACATTTCTCTGAATTGATTTATGATAAGAACCTATCAGTTTATCCTTCTTACGAGTTGATCACGGATTGATATCAGTTAGAGAACCATCGAAAACCAGTATTGGAGTACTGGACATCTAACTGTTTCATCTCACTGGTTTGGGACTTATCAGTAGTACGCACCCACCTCCAGTGTTTGAATTGAGAAACTTACGGTTACAAGGCAAGCTCGTTTAGCATTCAGCCACTGGAACCCGATTCAATGGCCATCCCATGAATTCTAACTTCTATCAATTCATGGTGCATTTAGAGCGACCACCAACCAATGTAATCGATAGGACATCCATCTTCACACTTGACTAGATGGACTTCACTGGTCAAGACTTCTCACTAGAACTCCAGGAGACTCCGTCCTGTAGCAAGTCACTAGCGGACATCCTGGGTTCGAACCCTGGAGGTGGATGCGTACTGCCGATGAGTCCCAAACCAGTGGGATGAAACAGTTAGCTGTCCAGTACTCCAATACTGGTTTTCAATGGTTCTCTAACTGATATCAATCCGTGGTCAACTCGTAAAAACAAATCTATTCCTTACAAACCAACTCTAGAAAATTTATCCTTCGACGAATCTTACAATTAAGCGAACTTAAGGCTTCTCCAATTATTCTCTCATACTCTGAAAGGTATATCTCCTTCGATAACTAACCTTTTGTTTGACATATATCATCACATTATTCATGTCAATCTAGCCAATTTTTTTTATTTTATTGATTCTTCAAGTATATATTTAAATTTATGCTTTATGAATGAGTCATCAAATAAGTGTATTTAGAATTAAGTTAAAACAAAAGTTTTGGCGCACAATTCAATCCAATACTTGTCAACGCAACTTATGTCATTTAACGCCTCAATTTTATTCAATTTCTAATATATGATTGATTACCTTGCGTTCATATTTTATTTTTTCAAAAAAAAACCTGGTTTCATTTTTGCCGGAGAACATTGCATATTTTGTGTTCCTTTCGAAATACTCACCTCGGTGTACATTTACGTCTCATGTATTCTTAGAATATAAAATTGTATAACCTAGTTACAAAAAACAGTCGATCGTCTGCCATTAAACCCTCGCCACTCGCCACCTTCCTTCCTCCCTTAGTTATACGTAAAACCCTTGAGGAAAGGCTGAAATCTCATGAAATTCAGTATTGATGATGAAGCTAGCTGACATAGTCTAAGGGAGGAGGAGTGTTATTCATGAATGCGTGTGTGAAATGTGTGTGAAATGAGAATGTAGGACTCGAACCAGTGGCTTCCGAATTAAAAGTCTCGAGTCGTACCAGCTGCAATATGCGCATACATATGCTCATACATATATAAAATGTAAGATGATGCTGCAGGATTGGACTTCACCGAACCCCAGATTAGAAATAGGAAGTGAAGTGGTAGAGCACGTTGACCGCTTCACTTACTTGAGAAGTACCATCAGCCAACCCCAACGGGTTGATCTTCAACGAAATCTCAGCACAGATACAGAGGGCTAGTTTCGCATATGCCAGTTTACGCCGTCTCTGGCGTAGACGTGATATCCGGCTGGCCATCGACCAAAGGGAGTGTGTACTGCTCATCAGTCCGCTCCGTTCTCCGTTATGGCTGTGAGTGAGACCTGGCCATTGAGAGAGGAAGACATGAAAAGATTAGCTGTCTTTGATCACAGGTGTCTGCGTTCTATCTCCCATGTAAAGTGGTATAATAAGGTGAGCAATATTGAGGTTAGGCGTCGAGTGGTTGGTAAAGAGGGTAAATAAGTCGACGAGACTGTGAAATTACATTGACTGAGATGGTTAGGACATGTGTTACGTATGCCTTCTCGACGGGCAATGTTAGCTGATATAGGGTCAGGCTGGAAAAGAGCTAGTGGTGGTCAAACGAAAACATGGCTTCATCGGTCAATGAAATTCACAACAGTTAGTTTAAGTCACGTAGGAAGGTGTAGACTTCCTGACTGGTTGGGGTCCTCGGGACGGTAAAAACCAATGGTTGGAAACAATTGGTGACATGGCTCAAAATCGTTCTCAGTGGCGCAGATGCATCCACTCCTTGTGACTTATGATTTCCAATGAAACTGTTTTGCTCTCCGTTATTACTTTACCTTTGTCTCACACCTCTGTTTACTGTCTCTAATATGCATTTCTCCTACTTTCTTCTCTTGCTTTGTGTGCTCAATGGAGGGAGTATGGCGACTTGAACTGCCGCACATAAGTGCAAAGTTCTATGTCGAAAACCGAACGAACGAACGAATGCTCATGGAGGTTTTATAATTTTTCTGGCTAAACATATATGTACATATATGCTGAGCCAACTCTGATGTGAAGACAAATACTCTCTGAGGACATTGGTTGGCGGTCGTGCTAGAATTGTGAATTAAGAGAATTTGAAATTCTTAGGCCATTGCATCCCATCTGAAGCTCCTATAGGTGTATAATTATTCAAGCGTAACATAAATAAGAAAGAATTTAAGCCATCTACAGTTTCAATGTTTAACTAAGAGATATCTGAAATCCCACGTAGGAATTAGGGTGGCATTTAAACCTACAAACTTATTCACGGACAAGCTTTGTAGACTAAAGGACCCTATTCATCCAGTTAGGCAAAATAATTTAATCTACAAAATATCTTGCAATAACTGTGGGGTCAACTTTTGTGGGTCGGCCTAATAGATGGTGGTCAATTTGTTCATTGGAACATAGGAATTTATCTAAGTGTGAGATAATTAACCCCAAAAAGACGAATAGTCTACAGGTAAACACATCGGTCGCATTGCATGCACTAAAACACAGTCATGCACACACACACAAAAAGAATTGTATACAAACACTATTCAAGAAGGCCAGGAGTCGTTGCAGCACTCCCACCTCAAGGAAAATTGAAGAAATATATCTCATGGAAGTCTTTCAAAAGAATGGATATCCAAGGAATTCCATCAAAAGACATATACCCACAAGACAACCTATCAAATCAAATGCCTCCAGGGGAAGCACAAAGATAATCGCCCTACCATATATAAAGGATATCTCAGAAATCACTGCAAGACTCTTCAAACCTTTAGGAATTGACGTCGCACACAAACCAACAAAATCACTTCACTCAGCTGGTTCTGTGTCAACCAAAAGACTCAACAGCGAAAGAAGATAAGACCAACATCATCTACAAAATAAATTGTAACAACTGCGAAAAAGACTACATTTGCCTAAAGTGGACGTCTCCTTGGTCTTCGTATCCATGATCATAAACTAGTCGTCAGAAGACATGACATCTACTTCCTCACTCACATCACTGCATACAGACAACCATGGACATCATTATGACTGGGACAACCAGCGTTCAAATATTAGACAGACAGAAGAAACACCAAAAATGCTAGAAAATGGTTTTCAAGGCCTGGTATTCCAGTGAGAAGCAG